TGGCCCTGAAGCTTCAAACGGACAACAGCTTCGCAGATGCAGGGCGGGTGTTTTTGGAATGTGGCTGTCGCCAGAGCGCCGCGTACATTCGAAAACATGAAAAAAAACTTCACGGATTGAGGGCGGGTGGTTTTCAAAATGTGGTTTTCGCCTTAGTGCCACGCACATTCGCTCTTGAAAGATTGAAAAAAGTTTCACGGATTGAGGGCGGGTGGTTTTCAGAATGTGGCTCTCGCCTCAGCGCCGCGCACATTCGTTTTTTTAATGTAAGAGCTTCGCAGATTGACGGCGGTTCCATTTCAAAATACGGTTCTCGCTCCAGCGCCGCGCACATTCGCTTACAAATGTTGCAAGAGTTTCGCGGATTCCTATGACCAGCGTACCCGAAATGCTGTTTTCGAAGGATTCACGAAAATGAAGGCGCAACAGTCACCTTGATTCGCGGTGTTTAAATCCAGGGAGCGTTCTGGCACGATTCAAGATCGTCAGGACGCAACAGTCAGGTTGATCCGTGGCGTTGGAATCCCGACAACAATATTTTGGCATGCTTCAGGGCCTTCAACCAGTCGTCGTCCAACGAATAAGTTTTCTGTAGAAATGAACCGCTGTAGGGGCCTATGAACAGGGAGTTTAGAGGGAGAATTCATTCCAACGTTGTTGATGACTCATGGGTTTTCACTGGTTTTCCTCCTCCTACTGCTCCTGCTTTTCCTCTTCCTCCTCCTCCGTCCTCGTTTGCCTCGTCGTCGTCATCATTTTCCTCGTCGTCGGCCTCGGCCTACTGTTCTTCAGTGTCTTCGTCCCCGTTTTCGTTTTTGCCCTCGTCGTCGTCCTCTTCCTCCTCCTCCTCCTCCTCCTCTTCCTCCTCCTCCTCGTCCGCATCCTTGGCGTCCTCCTATTCATTGTCGCCAAAAGGGCCCCGAAAGAGCCCCACGAGAACCCCAAGAAGGCACCCACAAAACCCAATGATGTCAGCTCTCATGGGCTGCAAATCCCAAAAATTCCAATATTTCCCCACAGTTGTGTGGTTCCCCCCTTCACATCCATCTCAAAACTTCTCAAACAATTTCATGAAAACCCACAGTCATTCGCGTTTGTGTGTACGTTGTCCCTCCTGGGGTCCAGCAACTTTCCCAGATGTCAGCGTTGGGGGCCGTTTCGAGTTCTGGAGCGTCAAACAACTGCTCACGATGAGACACCCGTCGGTCGGAAGAAGTGGGCAAAACATGAAGTAGAAAGGCGGGTAAAACAAAATTGGGTTCGGGCCCTCCCGGGTCATGATCAAACACAGCAAATTCAAATCAATTATTGCAGAATGAAAGCGCTTAAAGCAAATTGGGGTCCGGGAGTCCGGAAACTTTTACTTTCAGCGCATAGGTCGGCGGCGAACCCAAGGGGAAGCGAGAAGTGGCGGGCCTTCTCGGAAGGCTCGGAGGGCCTAGGGCCGCGGGCCTCCCGAGAAGTGTTTTTTCAACGCCTCCCCGAAAGCATTGGAGTCGTCTATCGGCAGGCGCGAAGGCAAGCCCTCGCGCTTGAAAGTCGAGCAGGGGTTCGACTGCTGAATCGATGCACCCCCCGAATTTGGCTTCCCGTCAAGTCGACGAAACATACGCAGAATGCTCCGTAGATCTGCTGACTCTCCTACGTACTGTTCGCATGGGCTCGACGAAAAAATGGATTCCGGGTCGATTCAACTCTGCAGTAAATCCGCTACTCGACGGAAGCCCAGCCCAAAGACGACGCCAAGGATAAAATCGGGTGAGGATACATCGAGAATCTGAAATCTGGCAATTCTGGAAGATGACTGTGCCGCCGCGGCCTTCTCAGAGCGTTCCGGACGCGCTGAGCGCGTTCCGGGACTCTCTGGAACGGATTTACCCTCGTCCTAGCCCCGCCCAGTCTTTGACTTCGACTCCCACTCACAGACCGAACCCGCCTCGGCCCACAGCTCTCTACTCCTACATGCATGACTAGCAAAACTGTCACGAGCGCTTATGCCAAGTATGCCGGCCGCTCAGCCACGCTGCACGGAAAATCGCAAATCTTTCCTGATCAAGAGTCTCTTACTGCCAATTATCGCCGTAGTGCCGGGTGAAGTGATGCTCCCACCGCCATGCTCGGAAGCGCCCGGGGTGGCACTGGGTTCCTGTCGCTCGATCCAGAGCTCGGAGGCAATGGATACCCTTGACGCAAAGCGACTGACATGCCCAACGTCGCGGCTCGTATGCTTGAAAACAAGTGGCATGACCGGCCCAAGAATGCATCTCTTGTAGCGCTCTCACGCCCCACCTTTCCAATCCATGTTTCTGGCGTCATACGTTCAAGAGCGAACTTGTCATGGATATCTATGTATATATACATGCTTGTGCGATGGCCGATCCGTTCTGGGAAGATCGGCGGGCTTCCGCAACATAGCCCTCATCGCGCTGTTCTCTGTGGCCCGCAACCAGGCCAAGCGTCGTTGAGCAAGATTCAACGTGCCAACTCCACAGAGCAACGCTCGCAACACACTCCGCTGCAGTGGCAAAATCGTTTTTTTGCGAAAGGTGTAGACCTTGCCATCAGTGATGTTAACGTACGATATGGAGTGAATGCGTCTCAAACCTGGGAGATTCGAGATTCCATTTCCGCAGTCGCCTCGTCCGTTATGGTCACATAAGACCCCAATGACTTGATCGGCTTCTCGGGCGTCTGTCAAGGAATGGTCCGAGCGGGGAAGAACTGCGCGGTGTCCGCCAATGTGGCCACATGTTCAGCACATGCGCGCATCCTGCCAGAGCATACGAACACACGGTGCTGTCGTCCAAACGCAATCGACCAGCTCGACAGCAAAGTCCGCCAGATCCAATCATGTAAACCATTGCGTCGCCATTGCCTGCAATTGACGCGGCGCTTGAGCGAGCAACCACACGTCGACGGCAAAGACCAACAACGGAAGCCGTCGCACGTTCCGCGGCGCTGGCTTGAAGTCCAGAGTTTCGCGAGTTGCGTCTCGGAGTCGTCCCAGATCATCCCCATATACAACCAAACCGCAATAGTTGTTGCGACGCCAAGCAAGGGCGGATGAATGGGCGATCTGGTACAAACTTGAATTGCGCAGGCGCCTCCGGGTCGCCCTGGCGCATCGAACTGGCGCCCCCGAGCATTCGTGAAGACTGCAATCCTAAAGGCGCGCCTCTTGCATTGCTCATTTCTCGCATCCATGCAGCACCGTAAGGTTTGGGAACCCCTGCCTCTGTCTGGCCTTTTGACCCAAAAGTCGAACCCGACGGAATCGGCGCCCCGTGCTCGAGCGACTGATTCTCGACGAGTTGCCAGAACACGAAGTGGATATCTGCGGCTTGGTAGTGGGAACGGAAAGCCAACCGATGTTCGCCCAAGTCGACGAATCGTAAATTACACAATTCTGACAGCACCATGGAGTAAAGATGATATTGGAAAAAAAAAGGCCCCCACTGCTTCATGTGCTGCGGGTTCACGACGTCGGCCAAAATGTCAACTTTTATGCCAATCGAAAACCGAATCCTCCTCGCAAGTCGGGTCATTGAGCGAACGCATCCAGGCGAGATCCGCGATGACATCGAATACGCGCCTCAAATGAGTCCTTGAGCACTTCCGCCGCCACCATAATCG